TCGAAATAGGCGATCACGTTGGGGAAAAAACCTCGTAGTGGAGGCGAGGTCAAATGGACATTCAAAAAGATATCAAAAAACAGGTTGGAGACCATCGTTCTTAGGTTGGAGGCCATTGCTCCCACCTCATCCTAACCCTCCTGGTTGACTCATTGTCAAAGCCCTCCCTGGTCCGGGATATCAGGACACACGTCATGTCAAGGCTAAACTGGAGCACTTTCATCTCGTCTCGGTTTGTTCCATGGCCATCTTCAACAAGGTTTCACCCCACCCGCCGTCAAGCCGTGCCCGCCAGCCTTGATTCAATGGAAAGGCCTCCTGCAAAGCACGAGGAACTGGCTTGATGTTTCTTGTGCCTTACTAGTAGTAACAAGAAGCTACTTTAATTAAGTTAAAATCGAATTTAAGTAGTAACAAATCTCCTCTAATTTTTCCAGGATTGCAAGTAGCTTCTGCACGTCCAGCGGGGTGTGAGAGTCATTCCCTCAGTTCGGCCCGACGGAGGAGAGGTGACCGAGACCGCTCCGAACCGCAAAAAGCGTTCAATTGTTACTACTAGTAAGGCCAGGAGCCCCGAACGTAGCTTCTTGTTACTACTAGTAAGGCACTTGTTCCTAGTAGCGTCCGATCGCTCCTAGAAGATTTTCGAAGCCTCACTTCACCAGTGCGCGCAGTGTCCTCTCGGAAGCTTCAGAAGATCTAGCTTTGTCGACTTTCGAGCGCAGTGAAGCGTACCAGCGCACTGGGACAACCAGACTGGATCAGAGTTCGAGCGAGGCACGACAGTTCTGCGCAGAACGCTACTGGAAATGCGGACCACGGAAAGGACTTGGGCTAGATCTACATGCAAAATAATTGTAGAGTGGGCGGACGCCCTTGCGTGCCAATGGGTGGCCATGGTGATGTTCATCGCTTGGGCAATAATCCCGATGCTCGGGTGCACCGAACAAGAGGTGCACTAGTCATTTTCGCTACTAGGAACAAGTGCATCGCTTCTAGTAACAAGTGCCTTACTAGTAGTAACAAGAAGCTATTAGAAACACTAAGCTACTAGGAACAAGTCATTTTCGCTCACCTCTTGAAGCAATTGATTCCCGGTGATCAGCTCCCATCGTGTGCAAGCGCCTTTGACTGAGAAACAAACACCAAACGCATCGACTCCTTTGGTTGGAGGCCATCGCTATCAGGGAGGAGGCCATCTCTACTAGGTTGGAGGCCAATCTCTATTACAAACAAAGAAAAAGGAAAAGGACAAATGGTGGGACCGATACCCGCTCAATGGATTGGTTGTCATTGTCCACATCCCACACTTGGCATCCTAGAGTGGCACAGATTTCCACCATTTCGGCTCACTTGTCTGGCTACCCGAGATCTGCCACTTAGGTCATCTCCACGCTTCAACACTGTTTTATAGTCAAAGCCGAAAGGCGCCAGAAGTCGTAGTGGCCCTGCCAAGGCGCCGCCATCTTGTCCTTATGTCTGGAGACAGAGCTTGTCCCGAATTGCAGAGTGAGAGCACAACCGTCATCCCTTCTTTTCAGAAGAGTCTTTTTTTTCACACACAAGGCTTGGAGGCCATAGGCCATTGCTATTAGGTTGGAGGCCATTGCTAATAGTCTTTTTCACAAACAAGGCCTCAAAAACGTTGTTTATATTTTTAATGACCCCATGATGACATGATGTTCCTGTGGGTCAACAGTCAACATCTACAACAGAAGGCAATGGTTGGGCATCTCTATCTTCTCAGGGACCATTCATGACATCCGTCAAACCAAGAAGCCAACACAGCAGGAAGCTGGTTGAGCAAAAAAAACACATCAAGATCCGAAACGCTCTAGCTCATCGCCTCCTTTGGTTGGAGGCCTTACTAGTAGTAACAAGAAGCTAGTAGTAACAATAAGCTAATAGCTTCTTGTTCCTACTAGTAAGGCACTTGTTACTAGTAGCGATGCACTTGTTCCTGGTAGTTTCTTGTTCCTGGTAGCAAGGATGCTCCTAGTAGTAAGGGCAGGAGCCCCTAGTAGCTTCTTAGACCCGATCGGTTCATAAATCGTCTTTCTGATTGTCCGAGATTCCTCCGATTCTCCAGTTAAACAAGAAACTACTAGTAACAAGGGCATTACTACTAGTAACAAGCAGCTACTGCTTTTCTTTTTTGTTACTAGAAGCGATGTACTTGTTAAGTTGTAGCTTCTTGCTACTAGAAGCGATGTACTTGTGACTACAATCTCCTTCTGGCACACCCGCCCTGGGTAGCGCCCTTCCGTCTCGCCCGACCTGCCCAGTACCCGTCTCGCGGTCCTGAATGTGTCTCGGCGCGTCCGTCACGAGCTTTTGCATCTCGCCCACGACCTGTCGACCCGGTTCGGGTCTAAGAAGCTACTAGGGTCTCCTGGCCTGCGTCCTTGCTACTAGGAACAAGAAGCTATTTTTGTTTTTCCAAGTTGTCGACCCGGTTCGAGTCTAAGAAGCTCGCCCGTGAAAGTTTTGGTGCCAATACATCTACTCATAGCAATGGCCTCCAACCTACTAGCGACCAAAGTACAACAAACATGTAAAGCCAATAAACAAAGCAAATTGAAACCGAAACATTGCTTTGGCACGTTCTTCCCATGGTTGTTTGGTCATGTCTGCCATGAGATTTCATCGTTTGGGCTGACCAAACATGCTATATAGTTGCCTGTTTTTCTTTTCAGAAAAACAACTAGCAATGGCGATGGTCTCCAACCTACTAGCGATGGCCTCCAACGTACAAGCTCGGGGCATAAGCCAACACCCTCTCGAGAAGAAACACTAATACTCTGGAAATTGTACAGCTGTGAAGCAACGTTGGTGAAGCATAGATACTTTACACAGCCTGAGCTCCTCATTCCACCGCCCGTCATCGTCGTCGCCTTCGTCACGTAGTTCGAAAGCTGCCCGGGCGAGGGCACTTTTCCATCCGCCAAGCGGCCTCTGACCTGCGGTGAGGGATGTGCAGCTCAAGTGGCGAGGGCTCTTTTGCACTTGTTTTTTTGGTTGTCTTTTTGTTTCTCTGTGTGTTTTGTTGTTTTTCCTTAGTTATTGTACCCTTCTTTTTGCAAAACACTCGGCCTCATTGGCAACCTTGTTCACGTAGGTACACACATCCGCTGGTGCCTTGAAGCGCAAGCCGTTCGAGGGCCAATGAAGTCGTTGCTAGGCAAACCAAGAGAATTGAGTCAATAAACACAATCGAAGGCCATGAAGACTGCCTGTTGACATGTTGAGGAGAAGTACAAAAGGATGTTGCTTTCTGCTCTGTCCATTGACTTCGGTACTGCACACTTGTAGCTTCCGCCAGAAAACTGGAGACATGTTGGCGAAATTCTGGGTCAGGCGCCAAATGGATAGGCTGTGAAGAAGCGATTTGTTTCCCTCTGTTTTGTTCGCACGCGTGGGGGATGTGGGGGGTGAGACCGCTAGTACCTATGAAGTAGCTAGTAATGGGCAAGTAGAAGACCTTGGAAGCTACTAGCTAGGATGCAGGCTCAGGCTCTGGCTTCAAGGAAGTTCCCCCTGAAGCCTGAGCCAACTTAATACCCAAAGGCATCCAAGGAACCATGGCCGCGCTGGCCGTGCCGGCCGCGCTGGGTGGGCGTCTAAGATGCGAGCGCTTGAGATGCAAGGCACGCGGTAGCGCATTTCGTCCTTTTTTTGCAATGCATTTTGGTAAAAAAAGGAGGGAAACGGCATGAGACGAGCAACAACTAGTAAGGCACCTTGCTACTAGTAGTGTCCTTGTTCCTAATAGCGATGAACTTGCTACTAGTAGCTTCTTGTTCCTAGTAGTAAGGCCAGGAGCCCCTAGTAGCGTCCTTGCTCCTAGTAGTAAGGCCCTTTGCTACTAGTAGCTTCTTGTTACGACAGGTGCTTCGGTAAAGGACCAAGCTTGTATGTTTGGCTTCTCTGATCTTCGAACTATCTTTGTTGACATCGTGGACCTGCAATTTGGATGATTTAGACAATTGAAACATGGGTTCAGGTAGCATCGAACAGAAACAGCATCTGTTGTAGGTCAAAACCAGGAGACCGAGCGGTTGTCCTATCAGCTTTTGACCCCTACATGGAAAATGAAACTGGAGCAAGAAGCTACTAGGAACACAGGGCATCGCTACGAACGGAGCAAAGAGACTGAAGGGAAGACTGTTCCGCAAGACCCTGAGCATAGGGAAGACAAAACGGGCCCCGTTCGTAGCTGACACGAAAGACCAAAACAACCGTCAAAGGACTTGCACGGAGCAGGGACAAACACACAAACCAAAACAAACAAAACCAAACCAAACCAAACAAACACAAGCTCCTACAAGGAATTAGTGAAAGCCCGCTTTTTGAGTCTCCAACTACCAATGTTATGACTAAGTTGAACAATGACACTTTTGGGTGTATCAATGTGGCTAATGCAAATGTGTTTAATGTGTTTTTGGACAATGTTCATCGCCCTCCGATCTGTTTGTGCGTAGCAGGATTACTTCGTTTGGGCCTTGAGTACCTAAAAGAAAACAGTTTGTGTTACAGCATTGCAGGTGCACTAATTAACATTGGACAAACCTGGATGTTTGTCACATTGGTTGTCCTTTGGTGGTTCTTCACACAATATGGCTTCCTATGTTTCCTGAGACCTCTTCTTTCTTTCTTTCTTTCTTTCTTTCTTTCTTTCTCTCCCTGTCTGTCTGTCTGTCTGTCTGTCTCTGTCTCTCCTCACCACCTTTTTCGCGCAGGGCTGATCTTGGACCCTAACACGCACTTTCCCTGAGCCAACTGTGAACACAATGGTGAACACAGGAAGAATTCGCAGCACACACATGGGAAACCCTGATTTAGAGAACTTCTTGAAACACTTGGAACAAAACTTCACGTTTTGTGTGTTGCTGTCAGGAAAGTACATGTGCTAGGAGTGCTTGGCTGCTGAGCCAAACCTGTCGGCACAGCCTGCCGGTGCCAAATGAAAGCAGTCGGAAGAGTTGTTTCTTCCGGGATGATCAGTCAAATGGGAGCTGACCTAAGAGCAAAGGGCATCGCTACTGGGAGCGATCGGACACTACTAGGGGCTCCTGGCATCGCTACTAGGAGCATTCTTACTACTAGGAACAAGAAGCTATTAAAAACAAGTGCCACGCTAGTAGTAACAGGTGCCTTACTAGTAGTAACAAAAAGCTATTAGATAAGAAAAGAAAAGACAAACAGCAGAAACCTAAGAGCGATGGCCTCCAACCTACTAGAGATGGCATCCATAGAATAATTCAAAAAACTGAGAGTGCACAGTTCTGAAAATCCAAGAAACAACTCCAAAATAAACATACTATTTAAGACAATAGTGTATTGTATACGTATTCTTAATATAAAGAATCTCGTTTGTGACATATAAGGTCTTGGCCTTCATCGACTGCATCCGCATCTTCATCAAGGTCCTGAATTACAAGACAAAACGGTAAAAGAACAGCCTGTAAACGTCTTGTTCTTGTCTTTCTTTCAATATCATACCGGCACATTGCAAACAGAAACTTCTCCTTTTTGAACAAATTGTTCACTGGGCACATCGATCAGTGTAGGGTCGGGTTTCGGGTTCACTGTTGCAAAAGTTGTAGGAAGCAGTTTGGTGCGTTTCGCACACCCACTACTCTGCTGCTCTTGCTACTCCGCTACACCGAACTTGTGTTGAAGGTGTCGGCACGCTTTGGTGCGTTTCGCACACCGATCCACAGCTTTCTGCTAGTTCAGCGCGAAACGAGACTGCCAAACACATGGCTCGTACGCATGGGTTTGGTGCTGTGCGAATGGGTTTGGTGCGGTTGAGTTCGATCCCGGAAACCCTCGCCCTCTGTTCAAACAATTACTCACATTGTAATATGTCGTGTGATTCTTCATGGAGAAAATTTTGTATTTGGCCGTAAATCTTTGTCGTCGCTTTGCATGTGGATGTGTTACTGTGGGTTACTGTGGATGTGTTGGTGCACGTGACCTTTTTGAGGGGTGCCTTGTGTAAGAGTTCAGGAGCTGAGTAGTTAGAACCTTGATACTACTAGCGATGCACTTGCTACTAGTAGCGATCTGGAAATTCATAAATGACAACGTTCGGGAAAACACATTAAACATTCCAAGAAGGTGTTTTCTCTCTTGCACAGCTTGCGAACGTGCTCTTGGGGACATCACATCATCACCTTGGGCGCAAATGACCTGGCAACACGCTGTGGTCAAAGCTTTGACATGTTCTTGAAAAAAGACCCAAACACTAGACCAAGAAAACCCGGAGCCGGAGTTGCCGGCCTACCAATGTTGAATCCCAGAATTTCCCGAGCAAACACCACCAAACCACCGGAAGTGTCTTCCTGCTAGAGCTGGCAGCGGTGGTTGAATGCCAAACGATCAAGGCCTTAAAAGCCTCCTTCCACACAGTGGTCCCCGCAACAGTTTTAGATCTTGAAGAGATTTGTTCAACAGATGATTGCTTCTAAGTTAAGCAGTAACAAGCAAACTGCTTCTTAGGGCTACGGATCCTCTGCGTCCAAACAATTAGCACCTTGCTAATTGGCTTGCTACCTTGCCAACCTACTAGGAGCAAGGATGCTACTAGGGGCTCCTGGCCTTACTACTAGGAGCAAGGACGCTACTAGGGGCTCCTGGCCTTACTACTAGGAACAAGAGGACGCTACTCCTAGAAAGCTCAAAACTTTGGTCCGCCTCGATTGGCATTTCATCCTGGCACAAAAGGTCTGCAATGGCAAGGCCTCGCACATGTTCAGCGTGCTCGTTTCTCTGTCGTTTTTTCTGCCTTTAGGCCATCGCTAGTAGGTCGGTGGCCCTCGCTAATAGAAGCAAAGAAAAAACAGAAGGAAGAAAGGTCTAATATAGTTTGCTCTTAGGCAAACATCACGTTGCCATCTCGCTCTATCTCGCTCTCACGTTTTGCACGAACTCCCGACTCTGCCCAGTTTCAATACCAACCTACTAGAGATCGCCTCCAACCTACTAGCCATGGCCTCCACCCTAATAGCGATGGCCTCAAACCTAACAGCCATGGCATCTGAAGCTTTCCAAGTTTGGAATATAGTGCAGCCACCTTGTAAAGAGCGTTCCCGTAAGGCATCCGCACTTGACGTTATTCGTCCATTCTTCCTCAAGCCTCTTGTCGACTTCTCAAGGGCTGTGCCCTTTCCATCCTAGTAGCGTCCTTGCTCCGTTCATAGCGATGCCAGGAGCCCCGTTCGTAGCTTCTTGTTCCTAGTAGTACGGCCAGGAGCCCCTAGTAGCGTCCTCTTACAGCTTCATCACTTTTTCATCCTTCTCTCTTTTGTATATAGCTCTTTTCCACCTTGCCTCTGTCTTTTTCTACGTTCGCAGTTGTACAAAGTCTTGAGTTTAGACTTTTGCCACAGGAAACCCACTCTGACAAATCGCACACCGATAGCATCCTTGTTACTAGTAAACTAGTAGTAATGCCAGCGTTCTTGCTCATAGTAGCGATGCCCTTTGTTCCTAGTAGCGCTCTACCTACTAGTAGCGTCCAATAAGCCTCCACCTATGAAAATGATGAGAGAACAATGTTGCTGTCTACTTCGACTGTTCAGCTGTGACATGGCAACCCAAATGCTGGCCTGTAGGCCGTGTACGCTAGGTCTTTGGATTCTACTTGTTGTGGTAGTGCTTCTTTGGCACAGAAACCAACAAAAAGGAAAATGAACCTCTCCCTAGAGACAGAGATGCAAAAACGCTGACACACACAGTTACATCTGAGATCTGTCAGCTGTCGAGCGAGACGGCAACTGCCAAACCGGCAAACCAGTTCGTCTTCATGCGCAAGAACTCATGTCGCTCCCCCGAAGCCGAACCAAGAAGCTACTAGGAACAAGTGCATCGCTTCTAGTAACAGGTGCCTTACTAGTAGTAACAAGAAGCTACTAGGGGCTCCTGGCATTACTACTAGGTTTGAGGCCATCGCTTTTAGCTCGTCCAGGCCGGAAGGAGCGCGAGTCCGTCGTCATCGAGGTGCGCTCGGGTTGCACTTGACGACCAACCACACCCAAGACGGCCAAGCAGTTCGGCTTCTCACAGTGTTGGGAGCCTTCAATCACTTGAAGTGAAAAGGAAACCAGTCAGCTTTCCTTTTGCTGTGGCGCAAACCCAGTGTACCAGGTTGGAGGCCATCGCTCTTAGGTTGGAGGCCATCGCTACTAGGTGGCAAAAGAACCTTGTGCGAAGGCTTTGCTCACACGCTGAAGCGAAATGGACGCACTCTTCCCCCTGATAAGCTCGAGATCAACGCCAAACCACCCAAATAGCAAAAGGGCCATAAGAAAAAGACGAACCACACTATGAAATAGAACAAACCTGCCTTCTTGTTCTTCTCTTTATTCCTTAACCTGAACACCTTTTGTTTCTCCTTTCTTTCTTCCTTTGCCTACACCTGACTTGTAGGATGATATGATCTAAGGATTGTGCTTTTGCGAGATCATCGAAACCTGCCTTTGAAACCGTCACGTCTGGCAGGGAGCATTCTGACATTCCTTCGGCTCGGTTTGAGGCTCCAACAAACCGCGCGTCCAACACTGACCAGATCCTGGAAGAAAACGAAGAGCCCACAGGTCTAAAGAAGAGAAAAGAACATACAAGTAAAGAACAGGGCCAAAACAATTTCAAACTTCAATAGGCCAAACAGGGAAATGCAAGGTGACAAAATCTTGGAAAAGGAACTCCGAACAAACTGCGTCAGAGTCTTTTTGATTGCTTTTTCGCTTATTCTTTGAACCTTTCTTCCATGTCCTTCTATTATTTCTTTTGTCTCTAGACCGTTCTTCCTTTTCTTTAACACGTTGGTATTGTTCTAGACCTTAAGACCTTGTCTTGTTTCCTTTTCTGTCTTTTTCTGTGGACCTTTCGCCGAATCTTGAAGTGTTCGTTTTGCTTCAAACAACATCTCCGAATCTGTCAGTTCAAGAAGCTACGAAGGGGGCTCCTGGCCTTACTAGGAGCGATCGGACGCTACGAACGGGGGCTTCAGCTTCGTCTTGCGTTCGACCTTGACTCGACTTCGTTCTCGCTCATCTGGTCGCCTTGCCCGAAGGGACCCGACCTCTTAGTGGCCCTGCAGGGCGTCAGCGGCTTGGAGGTGCGAAAGGCGAGGGGAGGTCAAAGCGCGGGTCTCACAACTCGAAGTATTTGTGGCCTAGTAGTAGTGGTGTTTTCTGTTTTTTTCCCCTTACCCAACTACTTGTTTTTGCCCTATTTGCTGTGCTCCATCGTTTCTTCCTTTCCGTCAACGTCTCGTCTCTTGTCTCTCATCTCCTGCAACAACAGGTGCTTGCCGCCCACTTCGACATGTCGTGCCTTGGAAACCAAAACCATCCACCTATCCCTCAAAGCCGACTTGTCGAAAGATGTCGCAAGGAACAAAAAGGAATTGGTCTGTTCCTTGCAGAGGTAGACCTTTCACTTTTACTTTGGTGCTGGTGATGTAAACATTCTAAGATACACGGTCACGGTCTCAATAGTCTCAGGTCTCTGAGCTCTCAGCACAAAGGGAGGATTCGATGGTTAAACCTGCAACGATCTCCCGAGTTCGGTGGCTGGTGGCCCTAAGTTGAGCGTCTTGGGCTCTCAAGAGTTGTTGTAGTTGTTGTAGTACTCTTTGGTCCAAGAAGAAGGCTAAACCAATACAAAAAGAATCACAGGTCTAAGGACAAAGCGAGAAAGAAAGAGGTAAACAAAGCAAACACAGTATGCATGTAAACATGTTTTAGGTGTCCAAAAATGAACGGACTTTCAAATATTGATTTCGCAAACGCACGTCAAGAGTCTCGTCTTCCATTTTTTCACACGAACTGTGGTTGATTTCTTTCTCAGGTCTGGAAGGTCTGTCGAAAGCGAAACAACGTCTTTGTCGTCTTGTTGTTTTTCAGTAAAACACAGATCTTTGGCAACAAAATGGTCTTGAGTCTTGTGCTAAAAAAGGACAAGAGAAAACAGTAGTGATTTTACATTTAAAAAAGAACAGTCTTGAAGCATCGCTCACAATCTTGTCAGCACCGCTATATTTGTATCCCTGGCTTGCAGCTGCCACCCGGCCAACACCGACCTCAGGCAAACCAAATGTCTAAAAGAAGTCAAGGAATAGGAGACGAGATTTGTAGCATGGAGGCCATCTCTAGAAGGTTGGAGGCCATCTCTAGAAGGTTGGAGGCAGTGAGAAGCTAGGGGCTGGCCGTACTGAAGCGATCGGACGCTACTAGGAACCAAGGGCATCGCTTTTTACGTCTGAGCTCTCAGCATCTTGGGGCCGTGTCTCGGTGCGGTTGGTTCCAGCCACGTCCAGCAAGGGAGTCCTCGTTTCTTCGGCCCAAAACGTCGTGGTCAGGAAGGGAAACGAAAGGACAACAACAAACGGACAAAAAAAGACGGTCGAAAGGAAGAAAGAACACAAAACTACAAAAGAATATACATGGCGACATTGTGTTGCAAAAAAAAATCTAAATCACAAATCAACACAGTTTTTTAGTCTTTTAAGATGTTCGTTTGTACCTTTTGGTCCAAAGACTTGGTACTCTACGGACTGTCGGGTCCTGCTGGCCAAGAGCGACACCAAGCGATCTGCATCGTTCCCATTGGCAATGGCGAAGACACCACGGCGCCTTGGCCACGGGGGTAGGCCGGAAGAGGTAGCCACCTAGCGGCAAGTAGCTTACTTAAGCAAACAAGGAACACACGAGAAGGTTTAAAGAAAAAAGGAACAGAACTTCTTCGTTTTCGGATCGATCGCCAGGACGACCTGTCTTTTCGTCCAAGTTCGCATCCCACGAACAAGGCCATTACGTCAATGAAGTCTCCTTTAAGTCGTTAAGTCATTGAGGCATTACGTCGTTAATGACTTAACCACTGAATGACTTAGCGACTAAACGACTTAACGAGTTAAGTTGTTAACCACTTAATTAAGTTGTTAAGTTGGGTGGCCTAGTAGCGGTGGCCTCCAACCTATTTGCGACGGCCTTCGGTCGGAGCCAAGTCTCTTAGAGTGGCTGTGGATGTCAACGAACGCCAAGAGTTCTCCTTTCCGGCTTTCGGCCTGTGACGTTTTCGGCCCTTTCAGACCGGAACAAGTGCCACGCTACTAGGAACAAGTGCATCGCTACTAGTAACAAGTGCCTTACTAGTAGTAACAAGAAGCTACTAGGGGCTCCTGGCCTTACTACTAGGAACAAGTGC